TCTCTCTAGTAAAAATTTTATCATACACCTATTTTATCTAATATTAGTCTAGCCACGCCATTTCTCTTTTGATATCTCTATATTATCTATCTGCACCATCCTTTTGTTTTCAATATATTTGTACTCTTAAATATAAGGCAGGTTTCTTGTAAACAGCATGTACTCAGATCATAGTTGTTATCTGTCATTCTGCCAACTTCTACCTTTCCTTTTTTTTTTTTAATTTTTATTTACTTAGGATAGTCACAGAGAGAGAGAGAGAGAGGCAGAGACACAGGCAGAGGGAGAAGCAGGCTCCATGCACTGGGGCCCGATGTGGGATTCGATCCCGGGTCTCCAGGATCGCGCCCTGGGCCAAAGGCAGGCGCCAAACCGCTGCGCCACCCAGGGATCCCAACTTCTACCTTTCCATTGAAGACTTTAATCCATTTATATTTAATGTAGTTACTGATAAGATTTATGTTTGTTCTTTGTGTTCAATATGTCTTGTGTCTTTTTTTGTTTCTCTGTTCCTCCATTACTATTGTCTTTTGTGTGGAATGTATATATTTTCTAGTGTGCCATTTTATTTCCCTTGTTATTTCTTTTACTGTGTATTTTGAAATTTATTTTCTCAGTTGGTTTCCCTGGAAATTACAATTAACAAATTATAACAATATAGGTCAGTTTAATACCAACTTAATTTCAGTAGCATACAAAAACGTTGCTTCTGTATTGCACCATTCCCTTCCCCATCCTTTGTTGTCATACAAGTTATATCTTTATATATATGTGCCCATCTCAACACAGATTTATAATTCTTTATGCAGTTGTCTTTCAAACCAGAGAGGATATTTTTTTTAAGTTACAAAGAATGCATTTATGTTGGCTTTTACTTTTTTCTATGTAGTTATCTTTATTTGTTCTCTTTATTTATTCATGTGAATTGAAGTTACTATGTAGTATCTTTTCACTTAAGCCTGAAAGACTCTTCTTAGTATTTCTTGTAGGGCATGTTTTCAAGTGAGGAATTCTTGCAGTTTTGTTTATCTGAGAAGTTCTTATGTTCTCTCATTTTTTTTAAAATAATTTCTTTTTTTTTAATTTTTTTTTATTTATGTATGATAGTCACACACACACATAGAGAGAGAGAGAGAGAGAGAGAGAGAGGCAGAGGGAGAAGCAGGCTCCATGCACCGGGAGCCCGACGTGGGATTCGATCCAGGGTCTCCAAGATCGCGCCCTGGGCCAAAGGCAGGCGCTAAACCGCTGCACCACCCAGGGATCCCTGTTCTCTCATTTTTGAAGGATAGTTTTGCTGGACATAGAATTCTTTGTTGATAATCTTTCTCCTTCAGATCTTTGAATATGTCTTTCCATGCCATATGGCTTCTCTGCTTTCTGATGAGAAATCAGCTGTTAATTTTGTTAAGAATCCCTTGTACATGATTAGTTACTTCTCTTTTGCTACTTTCAAAATTCTTTGTCTTTCATCAGTTTTACTATGATGTGTCTACATGTGGATCTCTTTGAGTTTTTCCTATTTGGAGTTTATTGAGCTTCTTGGATGTGTAGATTAATATTTTTCATTAAATGGGGGAAGTTTTCTTGCCATTATTTCTTCAAATATTCTCCATGCCTCTTTCTCTCTTTCTCCTCTCTTTGGGACTCCCATATGTTGGTATGCTTGAATGTTCCAGAGCTCTCTGAGTCTTTGTTTTTTTTTTTTTTAATCTTTTTTTTTCATTTTTATTTACTTAGGATAGTCACAGAGAGAGAGAGAGAGAGGCAGAGACACAGGCAGAGGGAGAAGTAGGCTCCATGCACCGGGAGCCCGATGTGGGATTCGATCCCGGGTCTCCAGGATCGCGCCCTGGGCCAAAGGCAGGCGCCAAACCGCTGCGCCACCCAGGGATCCCCATAATTTAAAAAAAATAAATAAAACTCTAAGAAAACTTGAAAGAGAAATAACTTCCTTAATTTGAAAATGACTTCAAAAACTCTTGGGCTAGGGATCCCTGGGTGGCGCAGCGGTTTAGCGCCTGCCTTTGGCCCAGGGCGCGATCCTGGAGACCCTGGATCGAATCCCACGTCAGGCTCCCGGTGCATGGAGCCTGCTTCTCCCTCTGCCTGTGTCTCTGCCTCTCTCTCTCTCTCTGTGAGACTATCATAAATAAATAAAAAAAAATAAGGCATGATTCCTATTAAAAAAAAAAAAAAACTCTCGGGCTACCATTTTAATTAATGGTGAAATATTAAAAACTTTCCCAGAATTCAGGAACAAGAGAACGATATTGACTATTACCACGTCTATTTAAGGTTACACCGAAGGTTCTCAATAGTGCCCTAAGGCAAGAAAAAAAAAAAAAACAAGATATAAAGATTGAAAACTGTCATTCTTTGCTGATGGCATGATTATGTGTGTAGAAAATCCAAAACAATGAACAAACAACATGTTAGAATTAATATATGAATTTGGCATGGGGCAAGCAACAAACTATTAGGACATTTTTTTAAAAAAGCATTTAAAATAGCACCAAAAGGGTTGCCTGGGTGGCTTAGTTGGTTAAGTGTCTCCCTTCAGCTCAAGTCATGATCCAGGTCTCCTGGGATCAAGCCAGTAGCAGGCTCCCCGCTGAGGAAAGCCTGCTACTGCTCCCTTTTCTCCTGGCTCCTGCTCTCTCTCTTCCTATCTCTCTCTCTCTCTCTCAAATAAATAAAATCTTTTATTTATTTATTTTTTTTAATTTTTTTTTATTTCTTTATGATAGTCACAGAGAGAGAGAGAGAGAGAGAGAGAGAGAGGCAGAGACACAGGCAGAGGGAGAAGCAGGCTCCATGCACCGGGAGCCCGACGTGGGATTCGATCCCGGGTCTCCAGGATCGCGCCCTGGGCCAAAGGCAGGCGCTAAACCGCTGCGCCACCCAGGGATCCCTTTTATTTATTTTTTATTTTTAGATTTTTTTTATTAATTTTTTTAAAATTTATTTATTTATGATAGTCAGAGAGAGAGAGAGAGAGAGGCAGAGATACAGGCAGAAGGAGAAGCAGGCTCCATGCACCGGGAGCCCGATATGGGATTCGATCCCGGGTCTCCAGGATCGCGCCCTGAGCCAAAGGCAGGTGCCAAACCGCTGCGCCACCCAGGGATCCCCCTAGATTTTTTTTTTTTAATTTATTCATAGAGACAGAGAGAGAAAGGCAGAGACACAGGCAGAGGGAGAAGCAGGCTCCATGCAGGGAGCCTGACGTGGGACTCGATCCAGGGTCTCCAGGATCACGCCCGGGGCTGCAAGCGGCGCTAAACTGCTGAGCCACCGGGGCTGCCCTAAATAAAATCTTTTAATAAAATAGCATCAAAAAAACTCATCCAGATACCTAGGAATAAATCTAATAAAAGTCATTGAAGACCTACACACTGAATTTTGCAATATGCTTCCTAAATTTCTAAGAAAATTTCAAGTTTTAAGCAAGTGGAAGTATATATCATGCTCATTCATTGGAAGATCTAATATTTTTACAGCGAAGTGAAAGAAAGAATAATATACAACTATATACAACAACACAGATCTCATAGACATGATGTTGGCCAAAAGTAGACAGGCAAAAGGGGTGTCTAGGTGGCCCAGTTGGTTAAACATCCGCCTTTGGCTCAGGTCAAGATCCCAGGGTCTTGGGATTAAGCTCCACATGGGGCTCCCTGCTCAGCGGGGAGTCTTCTCCCTCTCCTCTGCCTCTTCTCTGGCTTGTTTGCTCACATGGTTTCTCTCACTCACTCTTTCTCAAATGAATAAATAAAAAGACAAAAGACTGCATATTGAATGATTCCATTTATATCAAGATCAATTGAAACTAGTGGTGTTGACAAAGGTGAAAACAAGCAGTTACCTTTGGGAGGTATTGACTGAGAAAGCTCATACGTGAGCCCTCTGCGGTATAGACAATGTTCTTCATTTTGATCTGTTGAATTTATGAGTGTATACACATGTGAAAAAACCTAGGCATGTGTGTTTTGCGCATTTTATACTGTTCTATCTCAACGTTCAAAATTTTTTAAAGGAATTTTTTTTTTTTTAAAGCAACGGGAAACCATTGAAAGGGTTAAAGGAGCTCAGTGACACGATCCTATTTAATGTTTTAAAACTACGTTTTGGGGGCACCTGGGTGGCTCAGTCGTTGCGCATCTGCCTTCAGCTCAGGTCCCGATCCCGGGGTCCTGGGATGGAGGCCTGCATCAGGCTTCTTGCAGGGAGCCTGCTTCTCCCTCTGCCTGTGTTTCTGCTTCTCTCTGTGTGTGTGTGTGTGTGTCTCTCATGATTAGTTTATTTTAAAAATACGTCTTGAGCAAAAACCTATTGGAAGAGGGCGGGAGCAGAAGCAGGAAAACCAGGTAAGAGGCTGTGTGACCTCCTGGGTCTAGGCTAGAAGGAATGGCTGCTTGTGGTGGAAGCAGGAGATGGGGGACGCCGAGATGGCGCCCCGGAGGGAGGGGTGGAGCAGACCTAAAGGCTGTAGAGGAGCAGAGGGAAGGTGCCACGTAGCTTTTTGGGTATCCACCATAGGAAATGGAAGACGAACAGCAGAAGAATGCCGGGGGCGGGGCGGGGGGGTCAAATGAACTAAAACTTGGAGTGGGAGATCTTGGAAAAAAGATCAAGCTGCGAGCGAGCCACGGAATTCCTTAGGCGGGAGGCGAGGCCTGCGGGGAGCAGCGGGGGCGAGCCTGAGAAAGGGGCTCAAGGCTGCAAGTTTGGATTCGCAGGTCTGGGAGAGGCGGGAACTCGGCCTCGAGAGGAGTGAGGCGTCTGTGAGGACCCGACCGGGGCCGGCGCGTAGGGACCCCCACAGGGATAAAGACTGCGAGGGCTCGGGTGCCCGCCAGGCAGGCGCCGCCCGGGGCCTCGGAAATGCCTGACCCCGAGCGCGGGGCTGCGGGGCCGGCCGGGCCGCAGCCCCCCAGGCGGAACCAATTATGACGGCGACGAGGTTTCCCGCCGGCGCTACACGGTGCCACACGGGAGGGGCGGCGCGCGCCGGCGTGACGCGGCCGCGCGGGATGGGCAGGGCCGACGCCGAGGCGGCGACGGCGGCGACGGCGGCGAGCGCTGGACGAGGCTGGGACGCGGGGGCCCTCACGCCCGACCACCATGAGCACCAAGCAGGTCACTTGCAGGTCAGTGCGCGGCGCCGGGGGCGGCCGGGCCCCTTGGCTTCCCCTCGCCCGCTCGCCTCAGCCCCCCGCTCCGCGCCGGGCCTTGGGCGGCCTTGGGCGGCCAGCGCGCCCCGCCTCCCCGCCAGGGAAACTGAGGCTGGAGCGGATTCTCGCCAAGTTGCCCAGCGGGTCGCGGCGCGCTGCGGCGGGACCCGGGCGGCCGGCCTGCCGGGGGCGGCGTGTTGGGGCGGAGATCCGCGGGCGACGCGGGCGCGGGGGCCTGGGGGCCGGCGGGGCGTGCGCGGGCGCGGGCGCGGGGGCGGGGCTCCGGAGCTTGGAGTTCAGCGGGAGGGGGAGATGGGGGCCGGGGAAGGGGAAGCTCAGTGGCCGTTTGCGGACGGGGACGCCGCGCAGGGGTGGGTCGTCGACCGATGATCCAGGGCCCCGGAGGAGCTGGGGCCCGAGGTGGGCTTGTTCCCCGGGAGGTTTTGGAACCCCGGTGCCGCCTGCTCTTGCGGGGAGTCGGCAAGCGAGGACTCGGTGCGGGAGATGATCATGGCGGGTGGCGTTCGTTGCGAGCCTGTTTCCAGGTGCTCGGTACGCGTTGTCGCCGCACTCGGCGGCACGGCTGCTGGGCAGATAGGATGCCCACTTTACAGTGCAGGACGTCCAGACGGAAAGAAATTAAGTGATACTCTCAGCGAGACAGCCGTTGACGTGGAGAAATACCGCGGCGACGGATGCAGGCGGTAGAAAATCCAGAGCCGGAGGCCGCACCGTGACTGCTGCGAGGCAGAAAGAGCCTGGTTGTGTAACACCCTCGTCCCTCGCGAACCTGTGGCTCCTCCCTACTGGGTTCCTAGTCTTACGGAACTGATGATACTTGGAGAGTACACGTTTTATTTTAATAATTAATCGGTTTCGGTAAAACCTGTGTGGGAAACATTGCTCCTCCCCCCCCCAAAAAAAAAAACCCAGTCGTATGGTTTGATTATGTAATAAACAGTTTAAGTATCATCTATGTGGTTGCTTCTCTTGATTAGCATGAATAATTGAGAAGGGACTATGTAGAAAGTTCTGTTAGTATTAGCATATATTAACTGTTCGGTTTATCCAAAGCCCCGGTGGCCTATATGAAGCAATTGTCAGGAATTTGCACTTAGTGTCTATTGAAAGTAATTTCACTAGTTTTTTTTTTTTTTAATACTTTATTTAGGGGGGGTTGAAAAATTAAAAAAAAATTATTTATTCATGAGAGACACACGGAGGCAGAGACACAGAGGGAGAAGCAGGCTCCATGCAGGGAGCCTGACATGGGACTCCATCCCGGGTCTCCAGGATCACGCCCTGAGCAGACGGCAGCGCTCAACCGCTGAGCCACCCAGGGATCCCCCTCACTAGGTTATTTTTGTAATAGAAGATCTTTTGTGAAGACCTACGTGTGATCTTTGTGTGTGTGTGTGTGATCATTTTTATTTGTATGAAGCAAGTGTTCTGAGTAATTGTATAGTAAATTCTGGTTACTCCTCTTAAAATGTGTCCACAAAAGAAGAGCACACATTTTGGTGATGCTTTATAAGTGAATCTCAACTCTTGTGTGCTATCTAGTTTTACAGACAATAAATCTTATGTTCAGAAGGACTTGAGACTTAACCCCTAAAATGCAGAAACAAAAACTTAAATCAGGATTATTTTGGCTTTCTCTTTCTGCATTGGGAGATGGCGTAACCTGAAAACTTTTAATTCAGTGGTTCCCAAAAAGGAGGACTCCTGCAGGATGTTGTTGCACATAAAGTCAAGATTGGGTTGGAATGTTGGAAAGGGATCATTACTTCTGTTTAAGTACTGTTGTTTGGGGGGGCCCGTACGATGTACTGGGTGCTCCAGCCATTTCATGTGTAACCCAGTAATCCTCACTGTTCCACAGATTGTGAAACTGAGGCTCAGCACTGAAGTGATTGCTCCAGGTCATTCAGCTTCTAAGTGGCCAACCTGTGGCATCAGTGTCTATACTTTGACTGGATGGCCTCCAAATAAATTTGGGAGTTGCCAAAGTTTCTTCACTGCAGGAATTTTTAAAGCTCTTCACATGTGCATATGAATGAAAATGAAATGCATATGAAAGGAAAATGTGTGCAAAACCATAGAAAGTGAAAGAAGTTTACTTGTGGGATCCCTGGGTGGCGCAGTGGTTTAGAGCCTGCCTTTGGCCCAAGGTGCGGTCCTGGAGACCCCGGATCGAATCCCACGTCGGGCTCCCGGTGCGTGGAGCCTGCTTCTCCCTCTGCCTATGTCTCTGCCTCTCTCTCTCTTTCTGTGCGACTATCATAAATTTAAAAAACAAACAAACAAACAAAATGTTTACTTGCAAAAGGGTGTGAAGGAGTCAAATTTCACAAGGATTGCCTCACTAAATAAAAAACAGAACACTTTTTTTTTTTTTTTTAAGATTTATTTATTTGAGAGAGAGTACCCATATGCACAAACCGGGGCAAGGGCTGAGGGAGAGAATCTGGAGCAGACTCCTTGCTGAGCTCCGACATGGCGCTGGATCCCTGGATGCTGAGATCACGACCTGAGCTGAAGAACACTTTTTTTTTTAAGATTTTACTTACTTATTCATGAGAGACAGGGAGAGAGGCAGAGACATAGGCAGAGAGAGAAGCAGGCTCCATGCAGGGAGCCTGATATGGAACTTGATCCTGGGATTCCAGGATCCCACCCTGGGCCGGAGGCAGGTGCTTAACGCCTAGCCACCCAGGCGTCCCTACAGAACACATTTAAATGAAAAAACAGCAATGTTACCTAGAATATCAAGTTTACATTAGTATTTCATGGTGAAAAGCTTCTCACTCTATGATCTTTTTCACTAAAGTCTTATCTCCAGACATTGATAACTCAAAGGAAATGTTCAAGATACAGTTTATTTTGGGGACTGGATTTTAATAGGGTGCTCAGATGTTTCTGATTTATCTGAGGGTGCAGTGTTTTTTGCTTTGTTTTCCTGGCTGCGGGATGTGATGTACATACTTATTCTGAATAGCAGCACAAAATGTTATAGTTTGCTTCTATTCTGATACACCGATGTCTCTCCAATAGTTAGATATGAAACGCTAGGTTTCGCAAGTTTAATGACAAAGACATTTCATATGTTTATTGCGTGGAATGGCAAGAGTGGCTGCTTACACAGTTGTGCTGTCAGTCTGTTCTCTCGATTTCTCAGCATGTCATTCTAACCCAAATCTCAAGTTGGCGATTATTTTTTGCTGGTTCTTCTTGCTGACTACTTCCCTGAGTCTTCCAATCTGTTTTCAAAGCCCTGATGCAGGCCTTTATGATAGCTTAGTAACACTTTCTTTTCTTCCTCTTGTGCTAGAGGTCCTTTTGTCTTATCATCACTAGGTGAAGATGTAGGATTTGTTTCCTTAGGAGCATCAAGCTTAGAGCTTTTAATTCTTTGGAAGTCACAAGACATAAAGGACCCTATCAGCTAGTAAGTGGTAGAAGAGCTTGAGTTCTGGAGTTGGGCAGTTCTGGATTCTGATCGTGGTACCACCTGTGCCACAACTTCCTCATCTGTAAAATGAACAAGGTAATACCTAATGAGCAGGGTTGGTTAACCGATTAGACAGTAACAACAGATGAGCATATTTTTGGTGTAGTAGGCTAAGCACTTGCATGCATTGTCTCAGCCAAACTTTAGTCTGTGACAGCAGTCTATGAAGTACAATTATTATATTATGGATGGGAAAATTGAGAATTTAAATAACTTGCTCGAGGTCACATAGCAAGTTCTCTGATTTCAGAGTGTTAACCACTACACTGTACCTCAGCCTTACCTCTCATATTTATTTCAGGTCTACCACTGGGCCCAGCATTAACCCTTTTCCCCCTCCGTAGATCTGCATGCAGTATAGCCATAGAATTTAAGTCTGAAAATATGTAAAGAAAAGTGACACTGAGAGTGCAAATCACCCATATAGTTAGATACAATTTGCAGAAGCGTTTTTGCTAGAGTTAAGCACTGTTGAAAGGTGTGTAAGAAAGTAGATTGATTTTGTTTGACTCAGTCCTCAGCTGCAGTTTGAGCTGCTAGTGGTTCTGTGGCTTAAAGTGAACCCAGTGTCCTTTGCAACATATAATAGCCACACTGTCTGAAACGGCCCTTTGGGGTCACCCAGGATAACACACCCTTTTGGAATGTCCCCCAGAAATCTTCCTACTCTGCAATACACTTCCCCTCATACTACCTGCCCCCCACTCCCCACCCCAATTCATGTCTCTGTCTTCTCTCTAGAAAGATATAAGGGATGGCTTGACCATCAGGAAGACTGAGCTGTTAAGAAGTTCATTACAGGGTACAATATGAAATAAGCCTGGATTAAGCTTAATATAACATAGATGGGGAGTGATAGTTCTAAGCAGTTGACAAGCTGCCCCAAAGGACAAGCAGGATATGTTCAAGCTAGTTTTGTGTTTGTCACTGGGGAGTGGAAATGATGACATATGCTACAAAAATAGGACTGGGCTGGCTTCATCTCTTACATAACGCTTGTTTCATGCTCCCCTTTCTTGAAGGCACTGATGGTGGTCTAGAGGTTATTTTTGAAGCTGTTTAAATCTCAGCTTAATCACTTACAGAAGTGATTAATCACTTGCATGAAGTCACCAGTTTATAGGTGACAAAACTAACTAGAAGCTCTGGTTGATGGTTATATATTTGTTTTCTTAATGAGAAAGATAGTAGAGTTTGAAAGGCAGGTTGTCTGAATAGGACTTCTGGGAGGCCGTAGAATTATAACAGGCACCCTTGTAGGATCACCGCTAAGAATCTGTCCTCTTTCATGCCTGGTTAACAAACAGTATTTGGTAAAGAACCTCTAGTTGTCTCCTACCTCCACTCACCCCCCCCCCCCTTTTAAGGAACTCTTCTTGTTTAGTTTCCCTAAAATAAACTATAATGAAGTATTTATTAGATCTTACTTTTGTGGAGCTGTTCATATAGCCACTTTGAGCCTGTT